CCAGGCGCTGCCGCCGCGCGGAGGTAAATCCCCCGGCAAGGCGCAGGGAGCCGCTGTCCAGCGAAAGAAACTTTCTCAGCCGAGGGCCTTGCTGCAGCTCCCCCAGAGGGTCTTTGCTGCCCCGCCGAGCGGGGGCAGGCTGCGCCTCTCCCCAGCCTCATGAGCCTTTCGAAGGGCCCGTCCTGTGCGAGCTGAGGCGCAGGGCGCTCTCCGCTGCTGCCAGCTCCAGGGGTCCCCGGCGATTTTCTCACCCAGGGCTGGTGGCTGCGTGGCCTGGGAGCACCTCAGGGAAGCCCTCTGGAGCAGAGCACCGGCTCTGAGCGAAGCCGCTGCTCTCCCAGAGGCCCTGTCGTTAGCCCCAGCTCAGTGCCTCGGCGCAAGGACCGCGTGTGCTCCTGTGGAGATGGTTTCCCAAGAGGTCCTGCAGGACCGTGATCAGGAAAGGCTGTTGCTCTGCTGCTCGTGGCTCTTGAAAAAGGGAGTGGAGAGCTGGCAAAGGTATGAGTGGTGCTTCCACATGCGAATGTTCATCCTGCTACCTGACAGAGAAACGGTTCTGCCTCCCAAAACTGCATTCAGTACAGTCCATGCAAAGTCAGGCTTTTCTTCGCATTCAGCAGGTGTCTGAAAATGGGAGGAGTATTAAGTTCGGAGACTGCAGGTAACGTGACTCATGTCCTGAGGTGCTGCTGCAGAGTATTGCTTGGCATCGTCCTCTACTTCTGTAACTTCATTTCTCGCCTGTCAGATACCTAATATTGGCTGACCTTTGCTGAGATGTAACTAGGGCTGTAACCTTAATGTTGTTCATAGAAATCATCCTGAGACCTCTCCTTTCCTGCTTCTCGTGGCATCCCCAGAACACTCTCCTGGTCCTCACGCCGTTTTCCTAGAGCAGGCCTAGAGACACGGCCGAGGCAGGATTGATAAACACTCTCAGCTTTACTTCACGAGTATGTGATTTGGGCTCTACTTTTGGAGCTCCTTGCCCTCCCCTCCCAGCAGATCTGAGATCATTTGTGTCCTCTGTTAGACTGAATCAGTCTAGGAATCAGCCCTGGATCCCAGCCCTCAGACAAGGTCATGGGCCAGCTCTTGTCTCTCCCTAAGCAAATCCAGGAACTTTCAAAATCTGGAGTGAAGGAGCGGGCGGCAGCCTGCCCAGGCAGTGTGCGGGGGGTGAGAGCCGAGGTTGGGACGCACCGTGGCAGGGTGGCACAGGACCCTGGGCGGGGCAGGGCAGGCCGGGGCTCTCCCAGTCACGGGCCGGTCGTGGCATGGCGTCAGCGGCCCGCAGTGCCTGTACAGATGTGTCCCAGATGTGGAGCTGGGAGCGCAGCGTGCCGACCGAGCGGCAGATGGAGCTGGTGCTCCGCGATGTGGTGCCTGCGTGGCTTTTTGGCGTGGGGTGGAGGACGGAGGGAGCTGGCCAGGAAGCACCCGTGGGCGGCCGTGCCCAGCCGAGCACCCACCACGCACACCAGCGTGGGCCCGGCCTCCCGGCCATGCCTGGACCTCGGCACCCCGGCTTGCGGGGGTTTGGGGCTCTTACGGGCTGCTTTTCCTGGGCTCCTACCAGGGCTTTTATGCTTGCAGTTGCAGAGAGCGCAACTGTCCTGTGGGTTGCAGGGTGATCTCTGCAGCCTCTCCTGCTTCCCAGCGAGCGGGACGTGCGCGGGAGCGAGCCCGGGCCTGTCTGAGCGGCCGATACTGTGCTTACAAAGAGCCCCGACTCACCCCGTTTCCTGCAACTCTGGGCTGCGTGATGACTCCTTGTGCTGATTCATATCACTTATTTATTCCGTTCCCCTCTGAGAATAAAATTAAATGCATGCTCTGCTTGTTGCTCTTCCTGGTTGCTTGTTTAGATCAGCGCCACGGAGGATGCTGCCAAGCGCTGACGACTCTGTGGGGCCGGTGCTGTGCAAAGACGTGCTGGGGTGAATGTAACTGAGCTGACATGACCCCGGGCTTACAAGAGAGCTGCAAAGATACACAGCACGAGAAGGAAGGAAAGTTAAAGAGAAACAAAATGTGGGTTGTTTTTTCCTAGTGAATCAGTTGAAAGGGTCTTTTCTCGGCGTGGGACGTGTGTTTATAAAATTGTGCATGCACGGGAAACCCCTGGAACTTACTTTTCTTAATGTCCTCAACAAACATCAGATTTAGCTATGGGGATTTACTGAAAGCTGCTACACAAATAAATAACAAAGTACAAAATTAGCAGCAGATCAACAAGCTGTGCTAAAGTCAGCAGTGCGGAGAGGAGAAGCCCTTGCAGTCCTGGAGAGGCTGTGGCTGCAGAAGGAAGATTCAGCTGCTCAGGAGTTTGCTTTGCAGAAGCGCTGAACCAAAGAGTGGGCAAAAGACACACATTTTCCTGTTTTCTTTGGCAGGGGAGGGAGGGTGGATGATGCTGTGTCTGGAGTTTTCAGGAGTATTTTTCCCATGGTTTTTGTCCACTGTGGCCCCTTTTGGCACTCTGCTCGTTTTAGAGGTGACTGGAATCGGTTTGATTTTTTTTTCCCGCTGCTCAGCTGTTTCCTGTGTGCTGTGCAGACCTCAAGCTGCCTTTGTTGGGCACGGAAGGGTGGTTACAGGTGCTGTATTTCTCCTCCATGCTTCTACAGTCCAGCCAGACCCCAAAGCTGCCCACACCAAGCTGGGCTGGCAGGAGAGTATCACGCATCCCAGTGGTGCTGGTTCTGGTGGTGCTCAGCTCCATGCACAGGCGGTCAGTGCCTTTGCACCTGAAGAGTAGTGATGGTTTGCTGTGTTTAGTCACCTGGGATCACTGCCAGTGCCGCACATGCTGCTGAGAATCTGCTCCCCACAGCTGTGCTGCTCTACCACCCGTTCCTGCGGTGCTGCCGGTGCTAACCACAAAGGCAAAGCCTGACAGGGCTGGGGCGGGATGATGCCGTAATGTTACTGGTATCAGAGTTTCCTCCCCTGCGGTGTGTTGGGGAATATGCTGTGCTATCTAAAGCCAGGTGTGGCTGCTGATGAGCTCTCCCAATGCACTTTCCTGGTACATGTTGTTCTGTGTTTTTCCTGCAGGCCCTTGGCCCCAAGCCCAGCAGCTGGGACACCAGCAGCGTGGCTGCCCCACCGAGAGACATACTGGCCACAGAGCCTGTGTGAGGGCTCTTGTACAGTGCCCAGCTGACAGCAAGGACCAGTGGGCAAGGATGATTGTTTGGGGTGCCCTTCCCAGGAGGGTGGCAGTGGAGACTCTACTGTGGCTATCCTCCAGTGGTACCCCACTGTGGGCTCAGCCATTGTGCCTGGGCCCATCACCTTGCCTTGTTGAGTATGCTGTGGGTCCCACGAGCGGCTCCCCACCTCTGGTGAGCTCAGCTCTGATACGAGGGCGCTTTGCTCTGGGTAATGTTTTCTTCAAGAAGGTGTGGGAGGAAGAAGCTCCAGACTGCTCACTGCCTCCACCTCTGTGCCAGCCTTGCTGGGCGTCAAAGCAGCTCCTTAGGCATCCCATAGGGAGGATGGTCATTGCACCAGCTTGGGCTCCAGAGATGCCTTTGCTTCTGAAGTGCTTGACTTGGTTTAGGGGTTGGGGTTTTTTTTGTAAATAAAAAGCAAATTCTCTATCCTGCACTTTTAAGTATATAGTGCAGGTCTCCTTGTTCTTAAGCAGATGAAGTTTAAACAGGGAAAAGCAGTGAAACCATAGAACCATTGAATAGCTTAGTTTGGAAGGAACTATGGAGATCATGGGGTTGAGTTCCCTGCTCAAGGCAAGACCAGCTTGGGAGAGTGTCTCGGTATCCCTTAAACAAGGACTATAGGCTCCCCTTTCCAAAATTCAAGTACTGCTGCAAAGTTATGTCCTCACTGGCCTTCAGTTCCTGCAGAGCTCTTCCTGCTTTCCCTGGCTTGAAGGAGGCGGCGCGACCTCGAGTCTCCACACTTGAGTTCCTGCACTCCCCTTTATCCGCACCGGGGTCGTGTCCTCTGTCTTTCTTAATTACCCTGAAAATCCCTCTGGTTATCTTGTATGATTCAGTGACCTGTGTCCTTCTGTGTGTATAATGAGCATCAGGCTGCCTGAAAGTTCCTGTTCCTCGGACTTTGACCAAAATTAATTATAAGCTTGTAAAATTTCAGTAGCTGACAAGGTACATTTGCCATTGCTCCTGTTTCTGGCCCACAGCCACGACCTGGGCAGGCGGGCCAGGGCCGATGCTGGTACATGGGCTCCAGGAGGGCTGAGAAGTGCAGAGCGCCAGCAAAGCTCCAGCACAAGTGGGCTGAGATTCATCTAAAGAAGTTGCTCAGCTCTGCTACAACTCCTGATGTCTGGATTTTCATCGGCATGCTGTGGCCCATCCTCCCTTTCCCCCTCCAGCCCCAGTGGGACGTGCTGCAGAGCTTGACTCCACACTGGGCTGAGGCTCAGGAAATCCGGGCTGCGTCCCTGGCCCTGTCGCAGCCCGCCTCTGTAGCAGGGAGAGAGTCTTGGTCCTCAGGGTAAGTGACGTGGTCTGGCTTGCCTCTGAACGGCAGGGTGCCAGAGCCTGGAGCAAACCATCTTCTGATGGGCTCCATATGAGAGACCAGATACATGGTTGCATTAGGCAGTGGGAACAGACCAGAAAAAAACCACAGATTATTCAAAACACCTGATTGTGTGAGTGGATTCAAGTCTGCCCATCTCACAGTTATGAAATGGCTGTAAAAATCCTTCCCTCCTTTCCCTGCTGCACTTAGCGGGCTCTCATGGCAGGGGAGCGTGCAGAGGCCGGGGCGGTCAGGCCCCTTTGTGCAGTGGCAGTGCCACCAGCAGTATTTGTGCTTTAACGACCTCCCCCCCTCACCTGCGCTGGTGCAGGCTGAGCAAAGGCTACCAGTGCTGGGCTAGTCCCCAGAGGTGCAGCTCAGTGGTGTTTCTGGTGTCTCTCCCAGGTAATAGTCCATGATGTGAATGAGCTGACGGAAAAACTGTTTCCAATCGTTGAAGCCATGCAGAAACACTTCAGTGCCGGATCAGGAACGTACTACAGCGACTCGATCTTCTTCTTGTCGGTTGCAATGCATCGCATCATGCCCAAAGGTAAGCCTCTGCTGAGCTGCTACAGCAGCTGCCTCCAGCAGCACAGGGTCTCATGTTCTTCTGCATGGAGGTGTTATCTGGTGCTATTTGAAATGCAAAAAAAGTTAATATACTTTTGGGGTGGGCTCCTGGTCTTCTGCTCCTTCCTACAGAGTGACAGACCCTGGAGTCCAAGAGTGCCCCCATCCAGGTCTCCACTGGCACGAGTGGTTGGAGGCTGTCCGTGTTGCACGGTGGCTGGCCTGTCCTAATGCCTTGAGATGGTTGGAGAGGTGAGACAGGAGCAAGCGTGCTTGCCTTGTGTGTGTTTACAGCCCCCTTTTGCCTCGGGATGTTAGCAGAAAGAGGTGCTACATGCTTATGGTGCAACTGTGTGCTAACCAGCATCAGCAGAGAGTGGCTGTCCAGCCTTTCCTCTTGGCTTCAGGGAGCTCTTGGAAAGCTCTGCTAATTAGCAGCCACTGATCACTTAAGTTTCCTTATTGTGCCTTTGCTCTGCTGTTATTAAGTGCAGGAACAACAATAAATCTGCAGGAAAACAAGGCAGCTGGCAGAAGGGGCTTGGCTCAGTTGATGCCATGTTTTCCTTCCCGGCTGCACACTGCTGCTTCTCCTGGGACCAGCATGCTCTCTAGCCTTGGACCAGTTGCACGAGGAGGGTGTTGCATCCCTGGCCTCCAAACCCCTTCCCTGGAGCTCCCCCAGCACTGCCTGTCCCTTCCTAGCACTGGTCCCTCGGCTCTCCCTGCCAGCTGCCTTGCTGGCCTGATGGACCGGTGATGGCCACGTCCCCTCCCGGGCTGGCCACGTGACCTCCCTGAGCCGTGGCAGGGTGCGGGTGGCAGGGAGCCCCGAGGTCCTGCCTGGCCATACACCTGCCCCAGGAGGAGGTGACCAGCTTCTGGAAGCTGTTTGTGGATGGCATGCGGTGGTGGCCCATTCCCATGTGTGTGTTGCTGAAATAGCTCTTCCCGTAGCTAATACCGCCGGCACCAGCAGCTCCCTCAGCATCTGGAGCTTCTGCTCAGCCATAATATTCCCTCCAGTCTGCCTACTGTGGATCCCAGGCTCAGTCTCTCTTGCTGGGACATGAATGTCTGCCACTCCCCTGTGCCCCTGCTGAGCCTCGTCCCAGTTTGACTCTGCCCAGTAGCTCCTGCCTCAGCACTGGTTCGTGAGGCTTCCTCTGGACTTGCCCCATCCTCCTGGCACAGCCATCCCATGCTCCTTAAACAGCGTGGCAGTGGTGTTTAATTTGTGCGGGCAGGCATTAGGGAAGAGCAGGCAGGGAGGTGGCTTACTTCATACCCCAGGGGGGCTGTGGGGTGAGGTGGCCCCGAGGGTCCCATCCAACCCCTGCCAATCTTGGCTCTGTGGGCTCCAGCGTATGTGCTGTACTTCGCTCTCCATTAGACTTGGGTAATTTTTTTGTGTGTCTGGTGATGTCTGCACGGCAAGTGCTTTGAAGTATGCTGCATACAAACGACAGTATTAATGCTGGCTAATTCACTCCTCCCGATTCCTTACCCTGTCTTTACTGTGTGCTGAAGATATCCATGTCGTGCCGCCTGCCATCGAGAAGCTGCTGAGCCTGAAATGCCTTTTCTCAGTTTGTCAACCCACAAGTTGTCTCGTCTCTTGGAAAGCTTGTTTGCTGTCCCTCAGCCTGACGGTGCTTTCAGTGGTCTGGGGCACAGGATGTTTAAAGAGGCATTTTTACAGTTTCATGAGCTTAGTTTTTGTTTCAGAAGCTGCTAGTAAAGCTGATTTATATTTCCCTTGCAGGGGAGGTCAGATTTACTGTGCTGGGTGCCTGGTGATTTATGGGGCTGGTGGGGCTCCCCAGCCCCTTCCCTGCACAGCCAGCACCAGACGGGAGGCAGCAGGGAAGACAGCAGCTCTGCTGCCTGCTCACAGGCTTGCAGGTGGCATGGCCATGGCACAGGCTCCTGCCACTCTCCTGGCTCTGACAAACCAGCCTCTACTGGTATGAAGAAGCCATTTGGCTAAGTTGGAGGAGAAAGGTCTAATCCTTCCTTTTCAGGCAGTATTGGCATTTTTCCTGGTGCGTTTCTGTGTCATTTCACCTGCCCCGAGTGCTGCGTCTTTTTGTGCACTTCTGCAAGCACATCTGGCTCCACAGTGTTAGCACCATTTTTTTGTGGAAGCCAGATTTGATTGGAAGTTTAAGCATCCTCCAGCAGAAATGAAGGCTCTGATCTGAATATTAAACTAATGAATGTTTGTTTGCATTTGTATTAATCAGTCTATAGGTTTTTTTCAACAGCTAGCTTTGCATTAAAGTTGCCTGGCTTTAGTTTCCCAAATTTATCATTTTCTGAAGGGAGGCATTTCCATGGCATCATGACTTAGTGATTTGTTTGGAGCCTTGGCATTGTGATGGGGCACTGACTTTGCAGACCGATGGCACTGAAAACTGAATGCTAGGGTTATTTAAAAAAAAAAACAAACAACTTTTGTGGAACACGTGCTGACTGCGTGTGTGTTGCACTGAGAATAAATGGGTTTTGCCACTCAGATGCTCTGTCTTTCACTGTTGCTTGGGACCCTTGCCCAAAAAACTTCAGATCTAAAACCTGCAGCTGCCAAACTGTAATATAACAGCTTCTTAGCTAGTCTAAATCATATAACTCTCTTGCTTTAAATGTCTTACATCGGTGGAGTTAATCTGATTTAAACCAGCTGGGGACTTGGTATGCAGTGTGCAGAAGTGCAGACTGCATAACTCTTGTCTGTGCTGGAGGCTCATAAATCCTCTTTTAATGTGGTGTGGCCAGGCCTGAGGAGCTGGAGGAGGGCTTGATGCATTGCAATGGTTCCACAAGGGAGAAGTGATGAGAAAGTTACACAGAGAGAGGACAAGCAGGGTTCAGGCTTAGGAGGAGCTGCCAGGATGAGGACGATGCCAGCATAAAATGGTCTTGGGACATTCAGAGCAGTGCTGGGAGGAGGGAGGAGAAGGACTCAGACCTTTTTTACTTTCCTTTTCAGTATGCCCATCCAAGAGCTGGCTTTGATCCCTCTAATCATTTGTCATTTTAGTTGTGTACATTAAAAGGACCCAGCAAGCTTTTTATTGCCCTCCTTGCAGACACGTGAAGGAGTGATGTCTGGGCAGGTTTGCCGGGCAGGTCTGCTTGGCAGGCAAGATCATGGGACAGGCTGCTGGTGCCGCCACCGGCGAGGGGAGGAGCAGTTGGGGTGGCAGAGGGAGGCAGTCTGGGGAAGCTGTGGGCTCCCCAGGGAGTTCTTGCCCCATACCCCACATCCTTGTAGTTTTCAGGGAGAATTAGTTTAGCAACTGGGTGTCTGCAGCAGCTGGTGGGTCAAGGGAGAGGCATTAGCATCCAGCAGCTTGGGCAGAGCTTCAAAACTGCAGTTGGTGTTTGACTCCATTGCTGTGCTGCAGCAGGACGACCCCGTGGGACAAGAGATGGAGCAGAGAGAAAATGCAACAGGACAGAGAAGAAGCTTTGTGGTTTTCTCTGCCAACTCAGACAGAGGAGTGGAGTCTGTTAGTTCAGGGGGGGGAGGTACCATACCTCACATGGAGTGAGGGTATTTAGCAGAACTTGACTGAAGATGGTATTTGACAAACTAGAGGCAGCAGGGTTTCCTGGCTAGTAAGAACAGCTGGCAGTTTTCCTGGAGGGTAGCATCATCTCTGAACACGGTCTCCTTTTCCCCGCCTGGCAGCATATAAGGGAGCACTCAGGGTTTCTCTCTTTCACTGACTGGCCCAGCCTGAAGGCAGAAGCCCTGACAAAGGGGGGGGAAATGAGCATGGAGTGCTCATGCCATGCATGAGGTTAGCCCTTGTACAGCATGCTGCATCTTCCAGGCAGTGCCAGAGCACTAACTCGTTAGTCCTGGTACATCTCTGGGTCGGCAGGGAGAGGAATGCAGCTCTGCTCCCCTCAAAGCTGGTGGGCTTCAGCTTTGCAGAGCCATGGCTGGGTTGTTTGCCCAGAGAGGGACTCCCAGCGAAGACAGACCCCCTGCTTGTGCTGATGTGGCTCTGTGTCTTCACATGGGCAGTGGAGGAAAGAGTGCAGAACAGGATGGAGCGTGACTGCAATGTTTAATTTCACTAATGGGATCTCTTACAAGCATATGCATAGAATTAGGCTTGGAGATCTCCAGGAAAGCAGCTCAATAGGATGGTTCCTCTTTGTGCCCAGCCTCTCTGCTGCTTTGGTGTCTTCTGCATCCCAGAGCTGACTTGTAGAAGTCTCTGAGAACAGACAGCAAGAGCCATCAGAAGGTGTCTAGCTAACAGCCAGCGAGAGACACAAATTCTGTTTGGCCCTCCCTCAGCCTGTTCTAAATACTTTGGAAGTATGGGACTAAGAAGAGGAAGAGAGCCAATTCCCTGTCTGGTTTATTCTGGTGTTAGGAATCTGGGTGTGAAAGTGGATGTGTTGGAAAATATTTGGGAGAAGATATTTGGTGAGGAAATACTTGACCTAATTATCACTATTGGTGAGGTGAGATTATTAAGATCACTGGTTGCAGTGCTTACAAGAGGCAGTGGAAAAGATAAGTAGGAGCTGGGTAGTATTCTACTGTGAAAACACACCTGGGGACATGCTGACTAAAAACTCAGGAGGTTGGTCTGCAGGTGCTTTTGAAAGGTTATTTATCAGAGGCTCGTAAGGGAACTAAACAGCAGTAGGAGAAGTGGGTAAGTTTCTGTGTGACTAAACACAGGTGAGGAGCTACAGGGAAGGAGAACAGAGTATTGCTATATTGCTGAAATTTATGGCATATCAATATGGTCCTTAGGAAAAAACCTGACAGAGGTTCAGAGAAGAGCAGTGGCTTCTGTAGAGGACCAACCATGCTGACTGGGACCCTCCGGTTTGGGGAGAGGGCTGGCCAAGGGATTATGGTGTGGTCTGGGAAGCCACGAGCCATGCGAGGTGGATGTTTGTACAAGAACTGGGGGGCATCAGAGTTGGTGAGAGGTGGGTTTAAAA